TGTAATGGGGATGATTGGCTGTATAATTTTTGGTAAACCGGATCAAAAGGTTGGCGTTGGTGTTCAACAATATCGATTCGATCAATAAACTTGGCATATCTTCTAATAGTTTATAAAAAGTTTAAATCAACGGAAGAGGAATTTGTTTATGAACATATAGAAAATATTTCAAGTGCAAAGTGGATTTTCTTCTTTCAACTTCCTTTAACACACTAACACTTGTTACAGACGACTGGACTGTAGTATAATCGCCATGCCGGGTCTTGAACTTCCGCAACTGTTGAGACAGGAGTCAGTGATGAAGGGTCGTGTCTCCTGTACGGCGTTTCTTACTTCGACACATTCCAACTTGTAGTTTAGTCTCTTTTACATAAATAGGTTCAATATTTTCTTCAACACTGAGTATCTTAGAACACAAACAGACCAAGTGGTGTGTTAGGGAGGCGCCTCACAGTGTGTGGTGGCTGCACCTGGTCACTTCATGGACAGTGTGTGTATATTCTGGGTAATTTATGTGATATAAATGGATCTTGTGTTCCTTTGTGGATATACAATGTGTGTGCTAACTTTCATGTGTACCCACAGTAAAAAAAAGTACCGCACGGATTATGTGCAAAACAATATGAAATCATGGACGAGGGATAGTGGAATGCATACCAACCCTCCCGGCACAACAGGTGATGTATGGATCATTGCGGAAGTCCGCAAACCCCCTCCCCCCTGCTCGATACTTTATTTTTTACTGAGTACATCCATGAGTTGGTTTATTGTTTTCATGTATTATTTTGTAACATTTCTTTATTATCATATAAAGACAGTGTCTTGTTCTTAAGAACACATGTAACTTTATATATGATGTGGATTATAAAGCTTTCTGAGAGCTGAGGTTGTCGTTCACTAGACTACAGTGTGTCTCTTGGGTCAAAACATCAAGTACGTGGACCAGGTAATCCTGGTTGAAGACAGTGTACACGTCAGGGGGTTATAAGCTCTGCGCCCACAAATGCGAGTTGATTGTTGGATCATGAATAGGTATACAGGGGTGAAGGTGACCTGGTTCAGCGCTTGGCTGTGTCGCGTTGTAACTAATTAATGACAAACTAATTCTATACATGTGAATGATATTTGATTCCAGGTGAAATATGTCCAATTATGTTGCAAATATGGTTAATTACAGTTATGGTATATTCTGTGTTTGAGAAACATTTAAGAGAAATGTGACAAATCTTATAAAAATGAGCAAGTGGTGGGCGCTCTCTGAACATACTGTGACATGTCAGGAGTAAGGCAGTAAGTGTGGTGGGTAACATTGTTGCCGTGACTACCTATAACACCGATGTGTAACAATATGTATGTTTTATTACTATTACTACAGTACTACCTTAATAGGATCAATATTATATGCGCCATGAAACTTATAATAAACGTATATTTTATCTACATATATTACAGATGTTTGTACTATGAGGATTTCGTTTAACTGTTCACTCATCACACAACCTGTCGTTTGTATCATGCTCTCTGAGGAACAGATTCTAAAATGGTGCATTATGGAGGTGGACTACAGTAAACTATATGACCTTCAGAGTACATACAGTAGTGTTAACTTTTACTTCTATACTCTTCACCACTAATCGGCTCGTTAGCCGCTTGGGTGGTCGGTCACGTCTCTGTTACGCACTATTGGCAAGTACTGGGCATGCACCGGCTCCTGAATGTACCTGAACCTGCTCCAGTGTTGGTCAAGTTTGATCTTGAAAGAGCTCACACTCGGTGCCGTCACAACATTTTCTGGCAGATTGTTCAAAGAGTTCACAACTCTCACTCCGAAAAAGTTTGCCCTCACAGTTTTCCGGACCTGCGGCTTCTTCAATCTTGAGCTGTGACCCCATGTGGGGCGAGCGTCCACCAGCTCCAAGTAAGGACACTCGACTGAGTAGTGCCCCTTGAGATGCTCATACACCTCAATTAGGTCACCCCTTGCCCGTCTTTAGTATAAGCTAGGCAAGTTCAGGCGCTCCAATCTCTCAGGGTAGCTGAGGTGCCGAAGTGCAGGCACCAGTCTGTTGGCCCTCCTTTGAACATTTTCAACCAACTGGCAGTCCCTAGCATACCTCGGGGACCAGACGGGGTGACAGTACTCCAGATGAGGAAGCACTTCACTATTGAAGATCGTTACGAGGGACAGACCGTCTAGATATCTGAACGATCTTCTTATGAGACCCAATAATTTATTTGCCTGATTTACCTTCTTCTCACAATGGCCCGAGAACTTCAGCTCATTGTCAACATACACACCTAGGTCCTTCTCACATTCAGTCTCAAATAGTGCAGTTTCTTCATCCAGTTGGGACATATGATACGCCTCCTTACCGTTGGTACGTCCCAGGTGCATCCTCTTACACTTCGTGACATTGAATCTCAGCAGCCATTTCTTCGACCATTCTTGGAGCCCACAGAGGTCCTTCTGCAGCTCTTCACAGTCCGCTTGGTTCTTGATTTCCCGAAATAACTTGGCGTCATCGGCAAACATTTGTATGGAGGAGTGTACAACGTCAGGCATGTCATTTATGAAACAAACAAACAACAGCGGGCCCAATACACCGTAGCCCCGGAAATTATCCGAGGACACTGCCGAGCAGGAGTTGTGTAGACGCCAGCGGTGTAAGCCTGGTGTAGTAACCCTGATTGTATGTGCTACTACTATCTCTTGTATACGTTATTGTGGATGATTATCAGGAATATATATCTGTATGTCCCAGGTTGAGTATTGAAGCCATAAATATTAATACCAACAGAATTAGTGCTTGTTATATGTGTAAGTAAACCAGCTGTACTCAAAGTTGTGGTATGCTGGTGTAAGTACGTTTCATGTTTGTACTTCAAATAATGACATGATGCTACAAGCACTATACTAATATCCCTGTGTGCTGCTGACAAGTATTAAGTGACCATCATTCTAGTATCAATGGCATATAATAATGCCCTAAAGGAGATATAATTGTTTAATGTTGAATAATTGAAGATCTGTTTTTGTTACTTATAAAGTACGACCGATTGGTCAGTTTGTTTTGTATAAGCATTACAATAACATAATCAGTTTTTGAAACTAATTTTTATTGTCGTCAGTGAAGGTTCAAATTGTCATAATATTCACATTTGATTTTAATAAATATTGATTCAGTAGAATGTGGGTATTACCGCTCCTTCCTTCTAACAATCGGCATCTCAGAAAATACCAGACAGACTCGCATGCCTAACCTCTCGTGTCTACCACGGTACCCCTTGTTAGTTGTTATTCTAAAGAAAACCCTGGGTGGTAACAGCCTACTCTGTAAGTATTATACAAATGTGTAATGTTAGGCAATGATGTGGTTTTCCCGGGTTAATCCAGTGAACAGAATATAACTAAACAAAGCCGAGAATAAAAGTAAGTAAGAGGAAATACACAAATAAATAAAGTGATGTCCCTCCTTGCTACCCACAACATTGAGGAAAGGCAAAGATGACAAGTAAAAATACAGAGTGAATAATCTAGGGGTTGAAATACGTGGATGCAGCAAGTAAGGAACACACTCACAAGAATCACTGTTATTGTGACAGGCAAATATAAGCTCTGAAAGTGACAGAAGATTATCGTGTAAACTAAGTAATTGAATAACATTTTTGTATTAAATATTGATTAAATTAGTTATTTAGGTACATTAAATAACACAAGTAAAGCACAAAACAGGCAATTATCAAAACAAAATTAACAACTATGCATCTACCAAAACACACCAGAATATTACCCAATTATTCTTACTTTAAACATTAAATACTCCTACTATAGACAACAATACAAAAACCTGATAGAAATGGCAGCTCAGGTAGCAAGTCTAGGTTGCGATGGCCAACCACAATGAACCAGGGATTAACAATGTAGTCCACTACCATCACACCATCACAACACTACCAGCAGTAGTCCTTAATACAATTCGTCGCCCACGCCCTGGTAGAAGAGGACCCAGCTTACCAGACAAGACACATTTGCCTCCACACCTCGGTCTCAGAGTCAGATGGGAAACTGGTTCTGAAACGGTGCTCACTGGGGTCGAGTAGCTTGGTGAAGCAGTTTCTTCTTCTGGTGTCAAGTTGGAGCAAGTGGTGGTTATGGTGGTAGAGTGAGGAGGGGACAAGAATATAAAAGGAAATACAATAAATAAACAAGAACGTTATAGAAATTATAGAATTAGAAATCTCCAACAGTTAAAAAGTACACCTCTTGCAAATGGTGGCAGCTAGTGGGAATTGAACTAAAGTACTAAAAATTGTGTCGTATGTGACAGGTGAATTCAGGCGGTGAGGTAGACAACACAATTAATTCCATAGTGATGTCACCTGTTACATTATCATAAATGTATCTGCTTACTGTATTACCTTACACACACACACACACTGTTCACTATATCACATATCATCACCACACAGTTTATTGTTACGAGTTACATTAAAATCCTGAACCATCTAACACCACCGACATTTTTCCTTCGTTTATGAAGTTCAGATTACAGTTAAGACATACAATTGTGTTTAAGTACATAGTGTTTTGTGTAGCTTATAATGTTAGATACCAAAACTACTTCACCCAGTCACTTGCTTTCACAGGTGCTGGATCATCTAGTGTTCTAGTACAACGGATGCAGAGTTGCGGAATAACGGCTTCTGTTTGGTGGATTCAAAGCCACAGAAACAAGTCAGAGATAACGTAATGTGGAGATATATATTTTATTATTCAAGTCAGTATGAAATCATAATCATAATAAGGTAATTTTTAGAATGAACATTAGTAAACAATTATTACTACTATTATTACTAATACTATTATTACTAATAATTTATAATACAATTGTTACTACTATTATTACTAATACTATTATTACTATGTTATCTTTACTATTAATACTATTATTATTATTATATTATCACTACTATTAATACTACTATTATTATTATTAATATTATTATTACTATTACAGTATTTTTAGTACTTTTGTTTTATTGTTGTTTTCATTATCATTATTATTTTAACAAAACATTATAGTAATGGTCAGCCGATAATTGTCATTCTACAATACTTATTTTTTACAGAGCTATAACCAGTATGTGTGTGTGTGTGTGTGTGTGTGTGTCCTAGTGTGTAGTAGTGTGTGTGGTGAGGTGAGAAGGTGTATGGTGAGGAGGAGGTGTATGGTGAGGCGTTAGTCACCATCTTTACCGTCATAAAGTGTGTCCTTATTCCTCGTCTTCCACACATTATTGGCCCTTTTTCTGTCTATTAGTTCCTGCATTGTCTTCTTTCCTTTCTTCCATTCTGCTTTAGTCTTATCAGTTTCCGTCATCTTCTTCGTTCCTTCCTTTCTTCCTTTTATTACCTTCTTCCCTTCTTTATTCTTTCTTCCCGGGTTATTTTTCTTTCTTTTCAGGTATTTAAGATATTTTCCTTGTCTTCTACCTGAACCTTTTGTCTTCCCTGTTTTGTTTCTATTTTTCTTATACTTTTTCCTCCTTTTTCTTTTGTTTTTCTTCTTCAATGTCTTTTTTATCACGTTATTGTCCTCTTCTTGTAAACTGTTCTTTGTTCCGCTGGCCAAATCATCCTTACCGAGAAGTTTATGTCGTTGTCCACTTTCTTTAATCTTCCTCCTATCTGGTTGAGGGTCATAGGAGGAACAATAGGTAGATCTGCTGGTCGTCTCGTAGATCCAGTCGAGGTAGTTAGCCGCTTTAGTGTACACGCCTGTAAACAACAACACATCAACATCAAACCTATGGTCAAAATAAATCAGATACGTCACCCTCTTAAGATCCTGGTCGCACTCTCTAGTCATAAGAATACGATATTAAGTCCTTTTTTTTTTTTAAGTTCTAGTGAGTAATAGATGTTCCTAGGTGTATGTACTGGGGAAGAATCAACGATAACTATTATTTAAAGTGTGTTGAATCTCTGAGAGGTAATTGTTTACATGAATTTTACTGTCGACTGTACAGGAAAGTTTATTTTAATGCGATTTACAGACATCAACAGCAATATTGTTAGTTAAATGAGCTTAATATTTTTCCACAAGTGTCAACAATAATTAAAGATCAACTAGACAAAACTCTCCTCCTCGTCATCCAATAGCAGTGGTAATATTGACCTGGGTAAGGGTGTTACTGACCTGGGTAGGGGTGTTACTGACCTGGGTAGGGGTGTTACTGACCTGGGTATGAGGGAAGGCCACAACCGATGCCCCAGCTGGTAACGCCTACGAGGAAGTACCTCCCGCGGTTTTCATCGAACCAGATCAGTGGGCCCCCAGAGTCACCCTAAAGGGGAGGGGGTAGGATTAAATAGATTACGTCAAATTACCTATAGTTACCTGAATACCTGATTTACCTTACGGTAACCACAACTAGAGAATAGATTAGGTTAGATTAACGTTGGGGTGGATATTCTCAAATTACAATAAGGTGTGGGGGGGGTAATCTTCATGTGATCCAACAAAGGCCTATAATATATATCTTTAAGGTCATTCAGTCCAGTTATCACTTTTCTCGGCGTCAACAAAGTTTTATTAAGCGGATAATCTTATGAAAGGTTGACTCTTAATGCGGGGCTATTTTTGTGATCTGAGTGGAGGGAAGATGTGAGCCAGAGGCCTGTTTTTCCTCAACCAATTTTTACACTAATTAGATGCTGAGGACGATCCTCTCTTGCTCCAGTGAGATTCACTGAATACAATATTTGTTTCTTTTTCATCGAGGATATTCTGTCCTCACTGGCCAGAGAACTTCAACTTTAGCAAACCCTCAGACAGGGTCTCCACGAAAGACTAATACGTAAAGTGGAGGCTCGTGGAATTGGAAGAGATAGTCTAAATTGGATTAGGGCGTGGCTACAGGACAGGAAACAGCGAGTAATCATTAATGACACCAAATCTGATTGGGGTGACGTCACTAGTGGCGACCCAAAGGCTCAATACTAGGACATTACAAGGGCGGTTCCAGGGGGGGTCCTGGGGGTCCGGATCCCCTTTTTCATCAGAAAAATTCCATTACTTTTTCTTTAATGCAGCATTGTACTCAGGTATTTTTGTATAGTAAAAATTAATTACTATATACCTCAGAATATCTCCTAATGTCAAGTGCACATGGCTTCAAAATGGCCCACCCAACCCCCCAGCTGGGTGGACTCGCTTTGTTCGTCATGTTCCCCCGCCCAAAACTTTTTTGGACCCCCCCCCCACCCTTTTGCTATTCCTGGATCCATCCCTGCATTACTATTTATTACATACATTATATACATAAACGACATAGATATAGGCGTAGACAGCAACATAAGCAAATTTGCTGACGACCTAAATAAATTTTTAGCATGGTTTGAAAAATGGCAGATGAATTTTAATGTGAACAGATGTAAAGTGCCTAGCCTAGGAGATGTAAACAGAGAAGCCAGATATCAGATGAACAACGTTGCTATAGAGAAATCACACTGAGAAAGCTTTGGAAATAATGATAGTAGGAATCTTAAACCAAGACAACACTGTATTTGCTCGAAACAAGGCTAACAAAGTATTTGGGTTCATACTAATTGGATCCCCTGACCTAATGATTATAGACTCTAACGCTATCTGATTCTTGTTACCCTCAGTCCCTCTACGGAGTTCTACAAAATTCATATTACAAAAAAGATAATCTTTCCAAAGCTTCTCATATATATTTTAAACCTGAAGTTGTTTTTATTATACTGTATTTTTTCTTCAACAAACCCTCTGTACTAATCATGTAATCTATGTCAGTTTAACCACCAGACAACAGCTAATAACACTTAAGAATGACGTAACCTCCTGGTAATAAACTCACACATGGACCAACTTTGTGTCTTTCTCGCAGTACTGACCAATGTGTTTATTTGTTCTTGGTGACGTGGCCGCAGGAGGACTACAGTGATCTGCTCTCGTAGTGACAGCAGCAGCGGGAGTACTAAACAATTATGTATGATATATATACTCTGAGTTTTTATGTAATTTTCAGAAATATAAACCTCTAGCTGCGTTTATAAAGAGGGTGTGGGAGGCCGACCACTGGGGCCACCTTCAGACACTACATGGATGCCTGAAATTATGGCTGAGATGAGATAAAATGGTGATGGCTATGTAATCTCTAAAGCTACAGAGCTACGGTATAATTAATTCTCTATTTCTATTTTCTTTATAAACGCTCAGAGACTTATTAAAAAAAAAGCTGGTCTTACCGAGAAAAACGAAAGAAAGAAAAACCTCCATAAAAATGTTTAATTCTCCTGAAATTAGACAAAAGAACCACGTCTCCTAGTTCTGGATCAACACAGTTTATTTTTCATTGCACGCCCCTCCACCCAGAAAATACTTCAAACACTTCGACAGTTTCGGCCCACGTTCTTAATTAAACACATGTTTCGTAGTTCAATATTTGTATTACCGATATCTTCAACGGTTAATCTAATTTCGTTCTCTTTATGGAAGGAGAATTTTATCTGTCCAACTTTCTTCTATAGTACCTTACCTGCTATACACACACACAGCCTCTCTCACACACACACAGCCTCTCTCACACACACACAGCCTCTCTCTCACACACACACAGCCTCTCTCTCACACACACACAGCCTCTCTCACACACACACCACACAGCCTCTCTCACACACGCCTCTCTCCCACACACACTGGCCTCTCTCACACACACAGACCTCCTCTCACACACACACACAGCCTCTCTCTCACACACACAGCCTCTCACACACACACACGCCTCTCACACACACACAGCCTCTCTCTCACACACACACAGCCTCTCTCCACACACACACAGCCTCTCTCACACACACACACAGCCTCTCTCCACACACACACACAGCCTCTCTCACACACACAGCCTCTCTCACACACAGCCTCTCTCCACACACACACACAGCCTCTCTCACACACACACAGCCTCTCTCCCCACACACACACAGCCTCTCTCCACACACACACAGCCTCTCTCTCACACACACACAGCCTCTCTCACACACACACACACAGCCTCTCTCACACACACAGCCTCTCTCACACACACACACAGCCTCTCTCACACACACACACAGCCTCACACACACACAGCCTCTCTCACACACACACACAGCCTCTCTCACACACACACACACAGCCTCTCTCACACACACACAGCCCTCTCTCACACACACACACAGCCTCTCTCCCCACACACACACAGCCTCTCTCACACACACAGCCTCTCACACACACACACAGCCTCTCCCCACACAGCCCTCCCCCACACACACAGCCCCTCTCTCACACACACACACTCCCCACACACACACACAGCCTCCTCCTCACACACACACACAGCCTCCTCTCACACACACACACACAGCCTCACACACACACACAGCCTCCTCACACACACACACAGCCCTCACACACACACACAGCCTCTCTCCCACACACACACACAGCCTCCACACACACACAGCCTCCACACACAGCTCTCACACACACAGCCTTCTCTCACACACACACAGCCCTCTTCACACACACACAGCCTCTCACACACACACAGCCTCTCACACACACACAGCCTCTCTCACACACACACACAGCCTCTCTCACACACACACACACGCCTCCCACACACACAGCCTCTCACACACACACACAGCCCTCCTCACACACACACAGCCTCACACACACAGCCTCCCACACACAGCCTCACACACACACAGCCTCTCACACACACACACAGACTCACGTATACGGACAAACAACACTTTTCCCGACACAGTCGCCCTCTTGAGCGACTCCCTGAAGGATTGAAATATTAGACGCTCCAGTGAATTTAATCTAAGCATCTTCCTAAATTGGGGAAATATTCTCCTGAATTCCTCCATTCCAAAATATTTTCACATATTTCTATTATGGGTAAAAAAGATAAAGATGATTTTGTATTTTTTTATAGTACACACACACGCATACGCACAGACACGCACACACACACACACACACACACACTTACGTCAGTCACCACAATACATCATCACTCCAAACCTCATCATCACCATTACTACTGTCATCGTCATCACACCACACTACCGGTACACCACACCACCACCACCACCTACCTGGCAAGTGTCCTTTTTGCCATTCTCAGCACACAGCATGTTGGAGGTAATCTCCTAAAACTTGTAGTTACGGCGGCACTGACCCATGGGAAGGACTGTGAAGTAAGAGAGGTTGTACTTACACACAAAACAACACAACACTAGTAGAAAAAACCCCGTATCATCTGAAAATTAGACACCCGGCTTATTTAACCTAACCTGTATTAACCTCACATAATCTAGTTTAACATAACATAAATTTAATGTGACCTGACCTAACGTAACATCATATACTCGTAGAATAACCTAACCTAACCAACGTGGCGTCTCCTCCCCCCACTCCCATTATTACCCCCACCCAGCCCAGCGAACGTTCACACTTATAGGAATAATTTATGTTCTCTTATACAAGGATCTGTAAATTATATTCATTTATTCAAATTATAAATCTCATAGAAACAAATACGTAGTTAAGCTGAGACTGTCCTCCATCAAGTAAGTGAAGTGTTGAGGTCATCACAAAGATTTACATGGATTATAATGGCAAGTTATTTTGCAGGAAGACTCCATGATTAAAAAAAAGTTCAGGGTAGACTTAACTATGAAGCGAGCTGTGTTTTAATTGTTAATTATATGCACTTTTATTATATATATACAGTACTCATATATACGTGGTGGTAATTTTTGACGTAGTTTTACTTATTTTGTTGTTCTTTGTTTCATCTCTTTTCTGCCCCTCCTCCTCCCTATCAACTCATCTCTCCTCCCCCTTCCTTCTTTCTCCTTCCCCTCCTTTTTCTCCTCCCACCTCTCTCTTCCCTCCCCCCCCCTCCTTCTCGAGCAGGGGTGTGTTGATTCCACCTCCTTACTGGGACTTTAGCTGGAGGTGTCAACAACAGCTATTGACTATAACTGCATATCAACAAATAAGGTCAAATAAAACTAAATGTGCCCCCCCCCCCAAAAAAAAAATAACAAATATACTTGAAGGAGTCAAACATTCCGTGTAGTGTGGCCTAAGGTATAGATTGACGATGCCGAGAGGCGATTATCACTTATCAGATAACCTCCCATATCGTCCAGACCATTGATGAAGAGACTTTATTGTACTAAGAATTAGGACAGGGAAGACAGATTAGGGAAACTATCGGGAGTGAGAGGATGTTATTGTGGGCTGTCTTGGTGATATGATGATATGATATTACGTTTTGAAGTGCGAGTCTATGATACTCTCTCTCTCTCTCTCAGTCAATGAGGTTTAATCTACTTACCTTCACCCACCATCCCTCCACAGACAGCACCTTTGTCCTTGTGAACTCTCGCCCTAAGCCTTAAGCATACATCTGTGTTTAGTCACTTGCAGGTTTATGTATCTCTCTCAGCCCCCGCACTGGTAGTAAGCGGATGCCGACTCCACAATCCCTAGGGGGCCGTGTTATCGACAGGTGCGTGTGTGTGTGTGTCAGAGCAGAGGATCTCAAAGGTACATTACTTCCGTGTCTGTGTTCTAACTGTGAACTGTTGCCTCCATCATGAAACAGAGTGTAGTGTTGTATTTTAAATTATTTGTGTCTGGTTTTCTCAGAGTTTTCAGAGTTTCAAATTTTACGATGAAAATATGAAAAGCGGTTTCAATATTTCATGATTTTTTTCCCGAGAAAGTTTTAAATTTTCTCCTAAACTTTTTCCTTTTACTTTGGTGGATTAACTAGCATGTTTTTTTTAGGATATATAACTCCATTATATTAAATAAGACAAATTTAGATTTAGGCGGGAAATAGATAAACACTGGTTTGGAAACAGAGTAGTGGATGAATGGAACAAGTTACCAAATATCATCATTAACTCGAATACGCTGAATAGCTTCAAACATAGGTTGGATGCTTATATGAGCAATAGGGGTTGGGTGTAAACGGGACTGCCCAGTATGGGCCAATAGGCCCGCTGCAGTTTCCTCCATTCTTATGTTCTTATGTTTTCAATACTATATCACAGTTTAGACCTGACCCAGCCTCGCCCTACAGTAGTCACTAGGGGCTACGCTGTTCACAGGCAGGAGACGACACACACACACACACCAGTCAACCCTTTTCTCTCACCTTCCCTTCCCTTCCCTTTCCCCTCCCCTTCTTTCTCTTCTTCCCTTTTCCCCTCGTCCTCCCTTACGCCCCCCCCCTTTAATTAATATGTCCACTGGTCGTAAGGACAAACACAACCACCAAAGGACAGTGGTGTTAAGGGCCTGAAGCTGACCTCTACTCACCCAAGATAAACTTCCGAGGGAGAATCATAAAAGTGAGTCTTGATCTGTGGCCACGGGATATAGAGGTACCAAGAGTCCACATAGTTATATACCGGTGGGAACTTGTGTCATTCTGTCCTTTACGGATCAGTTACTGGTGAATTTATCTCACCCCAGTGAACCTAACTCTCAAGGAGCCAGGTGCCACTGATCCTGTCAACTACACCACTTCTTTCACCCCTCCTCCCTCGCCCCTCCTCTCTCCTCCCTCGCCCCCCCTCCCTCCTCCCTCACCCCTCATCCCTTCCACTTTCCTTAATGTGAAGGTAGGAGGTACTGAGCGGGAACCCCCTACCCCCTCTCTTTCTTTCTCCATCCTCCTCCTCCACTAAATATGGATCTAAGAAGCAAGGAAAGTGAATCCCCTATCCTCCTTCTCCCCATTCCTTCTTAACCCATCCTCCTCCCTCTTTTCATCCCCCCCCCTCCTCTTCCCGCTGACTCCTGTAACCTCCACTTTCTCAAGGTGTTGTATAAAGGTGATAAATACGGTAGTTATATGTTATCTTCTAATTTAACTTGTGAACCTGTCTATCGGAATCACACACTCTCAATGGTTAGCTGGAACACAGACCTGGGAGAACGAGGTATTGGGAGAATGTTTACTGAATGTATGGTTGTGACGTTCTCCATGCAGGAGTTGAGTCTCTGGTAAATAATAGCTCGTGCTGTTGTATGAAGTACAGTATATAGAAGCTCCCATTCAGCCGAAGGTTAGATTAGGTTACCTGCTGTGTGTGTAGTCACAGGTCATCGTCACTTACTAGTCAGCTGTGTGTGACGGAGGCGTGGGGAGCCCGCTTTAGCATCCTCGTCTTCCTTGCCCCATCCCATCACGCTTACCCTCTCTTTGTAGAAGGTCAGGCCAGGCGGGGTTAGGCAGATGGGTCTAACCCGCCATGTCATTATGAGAGGCTTGGCTATGCTCAGGAGAGATATATCGCTGTCTGTGGTCTTGTCGTTGTACCTAAGGGAGAGGAGGAGGATGAGCTAACAAACACACATGTGGACCTAATGGTTACTCTGCAAAACTACAGGAAGATCTAAACAAATTTTTCGAATGATCGGAAAAATGGCAGATGAAATTCAATGTGGACAAATGTAAAGTACTCAGTATAGGAGATGTAAACAGGGAAACCAGATACCAGATGAACAACGATGCCATTGTGGAATCCGACTGCGAGAGAGATTTAGGAGTATAGATAAGTAGGCATCTTAAGCCAAGTAAACAATGTGATTTTGCTCGTAACAAGGCTAATAAAGTACTTGGGTTCATACAAAGGGGTGTTAGTTACAAGACTAGAGAGATCATCTTAAAATTATATCTAGTGCTTGTGAGACCTCACCTGGATTAGGCAGTTCAGTTCTGGTCACCGTATTACAGAATGGATATAGAATTATTGGAAAGAATCCAGAGGAGAATGACAAGACTAATCCCGGGCATTAGGAACCTTGAATACAGAGACAGGTTAAAGCATCTTAATTTGCACTCCCTCGAGAGACGTAGAGTGAGGGGCGACATGATAGAGGTGAATAAATGGAAGTCAGGGTTAAACAAAGGGGACATTACAAAGGTACTCAAACTATCCAACCAGGAGCGAACTCGTAACAATGGTTTTAAATTGGACAAATTTAGATTTCGGCGTGAAATAGGTAAACACTGGTTTGGAGACAGAGTAGTGGATGAATGGAACAAGTTACCAAATATCATCATTAACTCGAATACGCTGGATAGCTTCAAACATAGGTTGGATGCTTATATGAGCAATAGGGGTTGGGTATAAACGGGACTGCCCAGTATGGGTCAATAGGCCCGCTGCAGTTTCCTCCATTCATATGTTCTTATGTTCTTATGTTGTATTCCGATTATATTTACTGTAACAATAATTAATGTACAGTACAGTACACATACACACACGCACACACGCACACACACACGCACACCAGGGTGCTAGTTGATGCTGTGGACGGGAAGGCAGTGTACTCACCCAGGGTGCTGGTGGATGAAGTTGACTGGGATGGACTTCTCCCTGGAGACGTCGCTGGCGGTAAGGTCGTGGTCGCCTACTCTCAGTTCCAGGTCCCAAGGGAACAGTCTGTGTTAAACGGCACACAAGTTACTTCTCAAGAACAAGACTCTGATAATATAAATTTATGAGATATTATATACCTATATACCTGTTGGAGAACCTGATACCCCCCCCCCCACACACACACACTTTGTTTGAAAGGAAGCACAAGAAACGTGGACACAGCAGCAGGAAGCACAAGAAACGTGGACACAGCAGCAGGAAGCACAAGAAACGTGGACACAGCAGCAGGAAGCACAAGACACGTGGACACAGCAGCAGGAAGCACAAGACACGTGGACACAGCAGCAGGAAGCACAAGAAACGTGGACACAGCAGCAGGAAGCACAAGAAACGTGGACACAGCAGCAGGAAGCACAAGACACGTGGACACAGCAGCAGGAAGCACAAGAAACGTGGACACAGCAGCAGGAAGCACAAGACACGTGGACACAGCAGCAGGAAGCATAAGACACGTGGACACAGCAGCGGGAAGGCACCGGGAATTGTCGGCACAGGTTCAGGGTATATTCTGGTCCCTGGAGGTGTTCTTGGATGCGCTTTACACAGAGGTACACAATGACTCACAGAATATCACATAAGAACTTAATAAAATAAGGAGTCTGCAATAGGCCGGTTGGCGTGTGCACGGCAGCTCCTGTCGAGAGTTACTACCACTCTCTATCATCCATGAATCTATCTAGCCTCCTTTTAAAACTTTCCAGCGTTCCAGCACTTACTACGAAGTTGCTAAGCGTGTTCCACTCGTCCACCACCCTATTTGTGAACCAGTTCCTTCCTATCTCCCTCCTAAACCTAAACTTATCCAACTTATATCCGTTGCTACGAGTCCTATCCTGCTCGGATATTATAAGAACTTTATCTATATCCCCTTTATTGATTCCTTTCACCCACTTAAATATTTCTTTCATATATCCCCGTACTCTTCGTCTTTCTAGGGAATGCAAGTTTAGTTTCTTTAATCTATCTTGATATGGAAGGTTTCTAAGTCCCGGAATTATTTTCGTCATTCTTCGCTGCACCGACCCCAGTGAATTGATATCCATTCTATAATAAGGGCACCAGAACTGAACAGCATAATCGAGGTGCGGCCTGACTAGCGCAAGAATAACTCACAGTAAAATGTAAAGAAATATATTGAAAAGATAAACGAATGAATCACAACATAACAGCAGAGGGGAAAATTGTAACAGAATACATGATTTCATCCTAGATATTTTAAAACCCGAGGCGGATACCCTATAGTAACCAGTGGCCGGTAATAAAGTCACAGGAAAAAAAGTCACAGAAAAAAGTCACAATTTTGGCTAGGTAAAAAGTCACAGGAAAAAAAGTCACAATTAATTTATGGTGGCCGGTAATAAAGGTTAGGTTAGGTTAGGTTAGGTTAGGTTACCATCAGTTCTGCATATTCCTTTACTGAAACTGATTGACATATTAACCTTAAAAAATGTGAGAATTCGATAGTTAACTTTTCTTTTTTTCCTGTGACTTTTTTTCCTGTGACTTTTTTTCTGTGACTTTTTTACCTGTGACTTTTTTACCTGGATTCAAGTAACCAACCCTACCAAAATAACTTCCATGCCGTGCTCAAGGGACACCATTTTCTCTCGAAGTATTTTAAGGTAAATAATGAATAACTTACTGTCTTAAGAGAATCTGACAGTAGATTAATACAGTCAGGATAATACGCCATAAATAAGAGATAAACAGTTGGGGTCTTACTATTGTTATTATTATTTCGAAGATGGTGATTAAGAGTGAAATACCAAACTGAAGGAAATCGGCCAGTAACCTTCATCGGTTGACGGTGGAGTGAGGCAACGCTACACTGTTTTAGTGTCGCTTCAACGCACTCGAGCGAAACAATGGAAAATAAATTATTTTTACATTGAGCTCGTTGTTTCTCCATACACACTCTCAACGCTGACGACTTATTCACTGAAAACAACTGAAGAAGCGTTTATAAAGGAGAAGGTTGTTGTAAGCAGCACAAGTGGGTGGCCACTGCGTAGGAACACCTGTACCTGGGGCATTCACACACACCTTTTAACCAGTGTACAAGCTAAGCTCCTGTGTTCCCTCATAACTTATCTAAACTGAAAAAAACACATATTCAGGGAAGACATTGGCATGCTTGTGGGGCGAGAGAGTCTTGCCTCATTCTGATCACGTATAACAGCTGTAGTGATCACAGGTGTGAGTATGTTGGTGACGTCAATTAGAACACACAACACATATACCTCACCATCTAACACAGTCCAACACCAATAAGATAGCATGAAGGTTTTTGTTAATAATAATAATAATAATAATAATAATAATAATAATAATAATAATAATAATAATAATAATAATAATAATAATAATAATAATAATAATAATAATAATAATAATAATAATAATAATAATAATAATAATGCCAGTGAAGAAACTATCACAGTGAACCAAGACCTTTTTCTCCCAGTATAGACAGTTTAGACTCAAGATTTATTCCTTTCCTTTCACACAAATTCAAAGAGACAAAATTCCTCTCATACGAAATTAAATTTATCTTTTAACTAATGGTCAGAAATTCCTTACTCCTTTAATAACCTGAGAACAATAGAGCAAACAAAGTCTGTAAGATCTCTCGACTCCCAGAGATGAATGATGTACACTAGAGCAGCGTCAATTTCCCGCAGCAGTCCTCCCTTAACCCCTGACCCTCCATGTGTAACCTAATATACTGGGGTTAATCCCTAGTAACAGTCAGAGTGCCTTTATAAGACACAATTAACTTTTATAAGTTCCAGGTATTCTCTTTGTACAGGAGAAAAAAATTGCCCCTTGTGTCAGGAATAATCAAGTGAATGTTATGCTTTTACTGATAGTTATGTGCAGACAAACATGGGTAGAACAGGCTGTGCAATTGTAATATATATGGAAAAGAAAATGAAAGTGTCAAACAAGCAAAGGCTGAACAACTGGGCCAGCACAACATAAACTGAACCAACTGGAATCTACTTAGCTACAGACTACCTTAAAGAAAATGGAGGTGGGGTGATATTCTGTGACTCTCAAAGTGCTTTGAAATCAATGAACAGCCCGTCAGGTTCTATGTCTAAAGTTGTATGTGATATTAAAAGAAATGTGATAACTGCCAATGAGAACAACTCTCGTATCGAATTTGTGTGGATCCCGTCCCATATTGGAATTAGGTATCATGACCGTGCTGATAGACTGGCCAATGAGGCATGTAAAAAAGATATGTTGACCGTGACCTTGGCCTGTCCAATGCTGTACTTAAAAACATTCAAGTCAGAATCATGAACTCTGATCTAGAAGAACTGAGAAATTCAGAAAGACCTGGCAGTTGTAGCATTAGTAAATATGACAAATTTTGTGACAAGAGGTACCGGTATGGCCAGCATAAGGACAGAACCAGACAATGTGATGTAGTCGTAACCAGAATTAGGCTAGAATACAGACACATCTGGCAAGTTAGTAGAGCTGTACCCATACCGGAACACTCGGCATGTAAACTTTGTGATAAACCTTTAAAGCATACACTTAAACACTATATTATGGCACTGTCAAAGACTTCAGGCCACCTGGCTTATTGTATCTTGAACTTTGTAATTACTGCATTGAATCAGGGGTGCCTGAGGACATTCTTGCTGTTTATCCCAAATTTGCTAGCCCACACTGATTAATCTTCAATTAGAATATGACGTCCAATGTATATGAACCTCTGTCCTGCATGGCAGTGAACAGTGACATCACCCACATGAATCTGACCTATATATATTGTAAATGAATATGATGTATTTCTTTGTGTATGAACCTCTGTCCTGTGTGGCAGTGAGAAGTGATAGCACCTCAGTGTCAAAACCTGACGGAATTACTCAGAATAGGTAAACTGTACTCCAAGCTTTGTATACTTCCCGCCTTCACAGTACTTCCTCATATCCTAAATTATTCCGTAAGTTAAGCTACTAAGCAAATCATACATGTAAAAGAAGGAAAAAATACAATCACACAACAGCAACAACACAATCCTCACATACAGTACAGTGGCGGTGTTTATGTGAAATAGTAAACATTGGGAACAAATTATCATTTATGAGGAATTCTCTCTCTCTCTCTCTCTCTCTCTCTCTCTGGACTCACCCATCAGTACAGTGAGCAGCCGTCAGGAAGAATGTGTCGCTGATGATGCTCGCCCCGCAGAAGTGTTTCTTATTCTTGGACAGCTGCAATGACACCTGCAACACATTCAACATTGTACTCAACATTTGCAACACATGCAGCATTGTAATGAAACCCGCAATATTGCATGTAACAATCACTGTATACTTCACACCTGCAACATTATACTTAGTACATGCAACACTGTACTTGAAACATACAACGTTACCTGTCTATCAAAATTTGCAAAACTATTTAGATCATTCAGAAAACATGCAACACTATATTTAACATCTATATTCATACTATAATGTACTTAACACAAGCAATACTGATATTATAACAATATAACATATGAAATACACAATATTGCAATCTACACCTGCAACATTTCTTATATTTTAAATAAGTAGAAACATAAAGTACTTGGATATGATGAACGAGGCTGATGTAGGAGACCTGACCTCAAGATATAAATAAGAAATAGTGTTTATATTCAATTACTCATATTTATACAGTGAAACCTCTATTTAATGGACTATATGGGGAATAAAGTCTGTTGTATCGAGGGTCTGGTATGAAACCTCCATCTTACGAACTGTATAGAGAAGAAAGTTTGTTATATCAGGATAGGTTAAAGAAACTTAACTTGCATTCCCTAGAAAGACGAAGAGTGCGGGGAGATATGATAGAAGTATTTAAGTGGGTGAAAGGAATCAATAAAGGGGATATATATAAAGTTCTTATAACATCCGAGCAGGATAGGACTCGGAGCAACGGATTTAAGTTGGATAAGTTTAGGTTTAGGAGGGAGATAGGAAGGAACTGGTTCACAAATAGGGTGGTGGACGAGTGGAACAAGCTTAGCAAATATGTAGTTAGTGCTGGAACGCTGGAAAGTTTCAAAAGGAGACTAGATAGATTCATGGATGATAGAGAGTGGTAGTAACTCTCGACAGGAGCTGCCATGCATAGGCCAACCGGCCTATTGCAGACTCCTTATTTTCTTATGTTCTTATGTTCTTATATCGAAGGTTCGCTATATATGTAACCCCTAACTGAAGGATTATATGGATAAGTCCGTTATATAAAGATTTGTCTGTATCATGAAATTAAAAACAACAAGTTATTTAGGAGTTCTTAAACATATACCCATAGCAGTTGGTGGTAAATATTTGCAGGTTTTAAAATAGCAATGAGCTTTCATCATCCAGGGATTTCAACTCCTCAAAAAACTTTAGACTTTGAAAAATATTATCCCAAAAATGTAACTTAAACACATTGAAGATTAGCCCACCCAAAAAAGTGCTCACCTGAATATTCGCCCCCAAAAGTGCTCACCTGAATATTCACGACCAAAAAGTGCTAACCTGAATATTCGCCCCAAAGCTTAACGCACCTGAAGTTTAACAAACCCGACGCTCTCTGGGGTACTAATCTTCAGGTGGCGTTGGAACTCAGTATACACCTATGTTTAACCACCCCAGCACAAAATATCAAAGTAGTATGGTTACAAGAATGCAAAAGAATACACCTGACCTAACCTGACCTGATCTGACATAATGACCTAACCTAAAGTTTTATTCCAAGGGGTAATTTCAGTACCCTACCCTGCTCTCATATTTCTTATGATTTTTGCTGACGTTTTAAGTAGAGATTTGGATCAAGATGTCAAGGTCTAGCACAACTCCTAACGTCACCTGAGACAGACGCTGGAGAAGTACCTGAGAAACTGTTGTCTTTATGTACTGTAGTAGTGACCAAACCCCCGTCAGTATCAACCAACACAACTAATTGCTGCTGATTTTGTTTATTTAATACTAATCCGCTCGTTAATAACACCACTCCTATGATAATTAACACTACTTTCCCTGTTAAGTATAATACTCTTCTCGTTTTTTATAATATTCTCTTTATTAACATTACTCTCATCGTAGGTTGATTCACACACACTACGTAGGTGTTTATAAAAGACCTTCAGATAAGGTTAACTCATACACCAGGTGTTAGCAGTTCAGTACCGAGATACAATTTCTCTCTCTCTCTCTCTCTCTGTAATATAATGTACCTCCAGTAACTATTCTGTAACCCAGGGTCTACTTTACTGCTAGGTTATGGGAGTCAGTTAAACTCCACAAGTAGTGGTCAGCTGGTGGACTGCAGCAATGAGACTTCTTTACTTAACAGCGGAAAATTTTACCTTAATTAACGGACTTCACTAACCTAAATTAAAGAGCAAAGCGTCTAGAATACAGCTAAAGTTTACTAAGATAAGAAATATTTATATCCTTCAACAATATGATAACTGGCAACACTGGGAAAGTATCGACCAATCAACAGAGCTTTCATCATAACCCATACGTACAGACATTCACCATCCATATGAAAACATTAAATTTTCAGTTCCATAAAATCTTCCCCTATTTTTTTCTCTCCATCTCCAAGGTAAATTATATTCACCAGCCACCAAAGGAAGAAGGAACCTCGATAAACGTATTTTATTTTCCCGATAAATCCTCTCCAGGCTGAGGGTTCTTTTCAGGAACGAGAAGGAGAACAGTACAGTACTCACCATCCAGGGGTAGTGGTGCTCGTGGGTCTCACTGCCCCCCACGATCTTGGGGGTCCGGGAGTTGTAGTGACCGCAGACTGCCTCACCAAGATAACCGCAGGATGCCATGGTTAGTTGGGCGGTCAATAATGAAACAAGAACATAGTTAGATATCAGTAAATATTATTGGTGTGTTGAGAGAGTAAATTTGCACCTATAATGGTGAGAAACACACCCATAAAGTATAAAAAAATAAGCAAAGGTTTAACAGTGTACGTAAAAAAATGTGAAGTGATAGAGAGGGAAAGAGAATGAGAAATTGGTAGAGAAAGAACAAAACTGTGAGAGATAAACGAAGCAGAGTCTGAGGGAGAGACAGTGAGAAAAGTAAAAAACTTAAACACGAAAATCAATACTAATGTTATTCTTTCTTTATAAACATGGAGGTGGCCATCACAACATTAAATGGATTTTCCATTTGATAGAGATGGTGGTGGCAGGAGAGGCGTGTACAGTGTTCTTTGTAGCAGATATTATTTTTGTCCATATTTTGCCTGTTTAGAGTTCTTCAAATTTATAAGGGACGGACATCAGTATGATGCCTTGACCTACCTCACACACACCTTCTGGTGCTCTCTTGCTAGTCTGCTCTGTACAATAAAGGGCCATATTTTTACCTATGATAAGTGCCACGGTCGTCTGGTTCAGTTTAATTAAGAGTTAAGCCTACTCAAAAGGTGGGAGGTGTGGTGGCCGAGACGACACATCACTCACCTCCTTAAGGGTCGCCGATTCGATCTCCCAGTACACCTGGTACACTCACCTGAAAGTGGGTACCTAATTTTACGGGTCATAGAAGTGAAGTTAGCCAAGTGTAGTGCCAACACTCTACCTTCTTGTGTACCGATGGGTTACTTTACAGTATACAGTCCATAATATTCCTAATGGGCCGTCAGGTATATGGGACAAACTTTTAATCCGGACCACGTCAGTCTTCCGGCAACTAAACTTTCAGAACACCATTACTTTTTATCTGTTGGTACTCTGGTGATATTTTTTCTATGTGTAGATTTATGTCAAAGAGAGAGAAAGTGAGTTTGTGAGAAAGTGAGTTTGTGAGAAAGAGAGAACTCGGGTTTGGTTGTGTCGTGGGGTCAAGGGGCACATAAAGCTTTCAGGGACTTTAGATTATTTCATTAAATCTAGATCATGCTAAATTCATCATGGGTACAGAGTTTTCATGTCTGTAGTACTTAAAAACTTTAAGATGATCAACAGTATTTCCATGAACTGTAACTTTGATAAAAAAAAAATATCGTAAAATATTACAGACAAGTTTACAGCGTTAAGAGTATAAACTTGGATAATTCCTGGAAACAGAAATATCTTACAGTATACCATAAAAAGAAATAATAGTTATTTTAATCCGACTTACAGCAGTCATGGTTGATGTTGAGCGGCTTGGGGACCATCTTCCTCCCTTCAGGGTATATTAATTGTGTCAGGACTCTTGCTTGCTTGTTGACACTACCACCACCATCATCATCATCTTTCACAGGAACGTGACTGCCATTGTTTTTCGCGTAGTCACTCTGCATTATTCTTTCCATCCACTTTTCATAATGTTTCTTCATGCCTAAAGTTGCGAAAGGCGATTCAGTGGTGGTCTCTGGGGAGTCACTGGTGGTCTCTGGTGCAGGTGTTGCTGTGTTTACCTCAGTGGTGACGTCATTGTTCCTACCCTCCCTTGCACTCCCATCATCAGTTCTCCGATATTCTATATTTTCTTGTGTCGTAGTTATCAGTGTGTCCAACACATCTGTTTCATCTACGGCATTTGTTGTCATCTTTTCCTCCGTGGTTCCCAGGACTGAGGTTGACATAAAGGGGATAAACATTGTAAACACTAAAGTGAGCGTGACAGTCGTCATCCTGGTCTTGTTGATATCAGGGAGGTTTTTACGTGCGACCTGCAAGTAGAAAAGGAACTGTTTTAGATATAAGCTGCACAACGTTTCCGTTTGGTAAGAAAAATGTATCTATGTGTGTGTGTGTGTGTGTGTGTGTGTACTAATCCAGTCAAAATTAAATCGCTACACAGGAGCAAGGTGTGGTCGAAGTTATTGGTCCCAGGTCCTGCTGTGAAGTGTTCCAGGTGAACACCGTTACCGTAGTAGGAGGCGAACAGTTCTTGGCAGACACAGGGTACAGCGCCGGTTGCCAGTAGAAAAAGCAGGTAACACGGGAGGTGTTTTGACATCCACAGGAAAAAGGTTGTAACAATATTACAGAACATAAGAACCTTTACGAGCAAGCGCCAGTAGTGGAAGTGAATGAGCTGTGAAACTGGCAATCCCGGACATTACTTTCCCCATTACCTTCGCGCATGCGCCATTGTATAAAAGAGACACTTATAAATGGCCAATCAATTACAAACAGTTTGTTACGAGTTGGGGATTTAGAATATAGTTAAACGTCTACCCAGATCCCAACACGTAACAACAACAACAAAAAACAAAGACAATCGGACTATAAAAGGGTAGACAAAGGATGCGAGTTTTCGTTGTGTATAATAAAGTACCATAAATTCCTTAACAAAATATTCAGCTTCTTATAAATTACCCTTAACCATACTTAACCTAAACATTAACAGTATATACATATTAATACAACATAAACAATTTTGAAGCAAGTGGACGTGGGGGAGGCAATACAAGATTACAAATACTTAAGTGAGGAGCTGAGATGGCTGACGAATAAGGCTGAGTATTGTAGAAGACGGTAGGTAGTCACTGTGCCGTAGGTTTAGAGGATAGATGATCCTGTGGTCACTTCCCAGAGCCAAGTGCTCTCTCCTCGAATTGGAGCTCACAAAGAAGACTTAGAGGAAGTGACGCAACAACCAGGATATGGAGAAGGGAAACCCCGGAGTGGTAACTAAGACGAGTCATACTAGTGTCTCGTCCCTAGATGGCGTTGCTCGTGGTGCTGGGTAGGTAGATCAGGACAATAGATGGCGTGGTTCGTAGTGCTGGGTAGGTAGATCAGGACAATAGATGGCGTGGTTCGTAGTGCTGGGTGGAGGGGTTCGTAACAAGTTGAACAGTCCAAAACATTTATGAGTTACGTATATATTACTATCAAATACAAGTTACAAATAATATAAAATAAATAGTTGAGAATCCATTACAAAATTAAGTAAACATTACAGTGATATATATATTATAATGAATAATTAATCAACCTTACAACTAATAGCTAATTTCCTGACTCCTTGACAGTGCGCGCGCCTGTGTGTGTGTGTGTGTGTGTGACCAAATAAACAAATGCAAATGATTGAGGTACTTTCTCAGTGAATTTGAGGTAATTTACCCCGTCGGTAATGTTATGAAAGATGTTATTGGTCACATTTCCTCTTATTTGTGTAGAACATCACTTTCTCCTCCCCAGTTGTGTCATACTTACTGTATAACACAAAGTATCGCCACGTATCCCCGCAGTTTAAAAAATCACAACACGATTAAAATAAGTTTTAGCTCAAACATCACCCCTGGTAGGTCAAGGCCATCATGAGGACGACTAAGGGGATTATGCATCCATAAAAACCTGCCTATGGTGGGACTAGCACGTACCGAGTCCATCTTTTACATTATTTTACAAAGTCGAGCTTTTTTAATATTCTCAGTAAGATAATTTACAATGGACTTTAAATGGGTTATATTTTATTGTAAGATCTAAAGACATTGGCTAAAAAGGAGAGATCTTACCCCCCTCTAACACTGCTGTAAAAGTAAGTATATGCCACCTGGGCTTTCAGGATGCGGCTCCCCCAACCTTGGTGTGGACATCGGCACTTGTGTTCAGTATACCAATAAGTTCACTAACCTATAAATTGCTGTTCCAGTTCGATGTACTTCCACAACTTCCTGTATCTGTCATTATTCTTGTGTCATTTATTCTTCTCTTCTTGCCTGTAATATAACCTGTGGCTATCAGCGGGACCTATTCTGATGGTCACAATTTGCGTCAGCCCCAATCTGGTCCCTCCCTCCCACTTTCCTCGCATGAAATAATGTTCCGTCTCTTCTACCTCATGTATTCACTCTTTTCTTCACACTTTCTTCTTAATTTTCTCTTGTATCATCATCAGTACTTCAACCAAACCTTACCTACACCTTTCACACACTTGTCAACAGCAAACCACACACTCACCAACAACACATCTCACACTCGCCAATAACACACCCCACACACTCGCCAACAACACACCCCACACACTCGCCAACAACTCCTCACACACTCGCCAACAACACATCACACACTCGCCAACACACACCGCACACTCACAAGAACATAAGAAAATAAGGAGTCCGCAATAGGCCGGTTGGCCTGTGCATGGCAGCTCCTGTCGAGAGTTACTACCACTCTCTATCATCCATGAATCTATCTAGCCTCCTTTTAAAACTTTCCAGCGTTCCAGCACTTACTACAAAGTTGCTAAGCTTGTTCCACTCGTCCACCACCCTATTTGTGAACCAATTCCTTCCTATCTCCCTCCTAAACCTAAACTTATCCAACTTAAATCCGTTGCTACGAGTCCTATCCTGCTCGGATATTATAAGAGCTTTATCTATATCTCCTCTATTGATTCCTTTCACCCACTTAAATACTTCTATCATATCTCCCCGCACTCTTCGTCTTTCTAGGGAATGCAAGTTTAGTGTCTTTAATATATCTTGATATGGAAGGTTTTTAAGTCCCGGAATCATTTTCGTCATTCTTCGCTGCACCGACTCCAATGAATTGATATCCATTCTATAATAAGGGCACCAGAACTGAACCGCATAATCGAGGTGCGGCCTGACTAGCCCAAGATATAGTTGCAACAAGACCTCTGCACTCTTATTACTTACACTTCTTGATATAAAACCTAATACTCTGTTTGCCTTATTCGAACATTAACGCACTGTTTTCTAGGCCGTAGGTCTGGGCTTACAAGTACCCCTCAGTCTCTTTCACAAGTCGACTTCTCTAGGTTGATGATGTTAAGGCTGTATACATTGACAGTATTTGTTCTTCCAATATTAAGTACGCTGCACTTGCTGGTGTTGAATCTTCTGACCACAACACACAATCGCCAACAACACAACATACACTCGCCAACAGTACATCCAACCCACGCCAAGCTATCTTACTCCCTCAAGGGTAAACCCACACACTTGGAGACCACTACAATATTTCCATTTGAAAGGAGCGACGGTACGCGTCAAGTGTTGAAGTCTCTCACGGTCTAGTTATACTGTATGTACAATCTCACCCATAAATTTTTAAACTCTCCCAACCAGCTATTGCTGCACTGCATGCTTCAGTTGTTTGAAACTGTCTCAGTACCAACCAGAACATGAAACTGACACGAATGAATCTAAAGGTTCGAAGTAACAGACTCAAGTTCATACATCTGAAGCAAACAGTGCAGCAATAGCTGGCTGGGAGAGTAAACGAACTTTTGGGTGAGACTGTACCCTCCGAGAAACATGTAACCAGTCAACCTTTTTATCCTAAAGTATTAAATATTAATCACTTTTACATGGGGTCCTCTCTTAGCGTAATAAAACCGTCTGGCGTCCCCGTAGCGAAGGAATTAACAAGTGTCAACTAAGAGGAGGAGGAAATTCAGCTGCAGGTGTACACCGAGAAGTCATCAACCTTTCATGGAGGCAGGTGGCAACGCCTGTACACCTGTTATCTATTACAATATATTTATGAGCGTGTTGTGTTTTACGTGTATACTGACACTGAGAGGGAAAGGAGAGAAACAATGGAAGAGAAGGAGAAACCGGAATAGCAGCTGGCACGAGGATCGCTCCGTGAACCACGTAATAAGCAAACAGTTCAATACCCTCACACGATATAACAATCTGTTTGTCAGTATCTTGTATTGTTATCACATTTATTAACTTTTTCTAAACCTCAGAAGGGGATGGCAAAGGTGACTACCCTGTCCTTTTGATGTAATAGTTTGTTAATGGCAAAAAAAATTAAATGTTTTTTAGTAACACAAACAAGACACAAAGCAATAGCTCAGCAACGACACCAACACACACCACAACAAACAGCCAACAATTCTGAAACACTGTGACTTAACCTGATGGAGCAGTTGCGATATAATAAGAACTGAACGGTTACCACTAGATACGCCTACGTGTGCGAGCAAATGTAATAGTACCTTCTTCCCTTCTGTGATCACACCTCCATAAAACACGCAGTACTAAGAACTTTCTGCACCAGATCTGAAGAAAACAGGTCGACACAATTGATATATCTTGTAGAAAATATATTATGACCCCCACAGCTTTGGCCATGTCTCTTGGCCTGTTATTATAGTCCTTATCATTAAGATTTAATAGAAAATAGAAAAATCGGTTACAGAATTTAGAACACATGTGGCAGATAATCCCTCAAACACCAACTGGGACCAGAATCTACTGTACAGCGGGGGTTTGTGGTCGTAGGAGCCAGGTACATTAATAGAGATGACATTACTTGTTTGGTGCAGATTATGTGCTCTACTTTCACTGGCTCCACAGCACCTCCACCACTAAATATAACCCCTGGAGGTATAACATCACCGTTAAAACCAGCTGCAATACCGCTAGAAGACAGGCAAGCAGAAGAACCAGCACATCATTACTAACGTCACTCAAGCTATACGATATTCCCACACCCGGCTCTCTCGGCCACACCTTTGTCTGTCCTGGCCACACCCCTGTCTCTCCTAGCCAAACTTCTGCATTTGCCTAACAGTATTCACTTGTAACCAAAACAAAGTAAACAATGAAAAAAATCTTCAACGTGTTTTAGAACTTTGGTGAGCGATATAATCCCGGAAAAACTAACTGGGACCAGTAATTAAATCAGGATTTCATTATCAAAGTACCGAGCTTGACGATAAGTGTCTGGGCAATCGGCCCAAATACGAAGGGATTCCTTTCTAGCTTAAATATTAAAATTAAATAAATACAAAGTGAAAAAAATATCTATTAGTACGTTCTATGTACTGTACACCATGCCACGAACAACCTGTCAAAAACTAAGAAATAAGAAAAAAATTGCCATAACTCTTGGTTACTGCTGAGTCTAACCTTTAACTTTTTAGATTAAAAAAATAAATGCCTGAGATATCGCCCAAATATCCACGAGAACAAACGACCGGAGCAACGACTCAGTGCACTCTGACGCGCCTCGTTGGGAACTTGGAGAGACAAGAGGAAAAGAGGGGCAGTGTACAATCAATGATACATAAATACAGATGAAGATATAACTTACTTATTTGGTGCAGATGTGCACTTCGCTTTCACTAGACCCACATCATCTCTAGCACCAGAGGTGACTCCTGTAGGTACAGCATCACCAGCTGTAGCAGTAGCAGCACACTAGGCTTCTTAAGTAATGTCAACATCATCAAATGCAGCTACAGGTGTACAGTACAAGCAGCAGTAGCGGCACAACACCTATATGCCAGCAACAGAGTCAAACTATAGCATTGTGTTGAACCTCACCACTTGTCTCTCCCACACCGCACCTGTCAGCCACACACACACACAAACACCTGTTTTTCACTTGTACGTTTTGTTTCAAGCTGGTACGATTAGTTTCCTCTATTCACTTTAATATGATGTTGCGGGCGTCACAGTAAGTTTGTAAATGTAATTGTAGCGGGAAAAAGGAATTTCGTATATAAAACACCCAGGCATGACCTTCCGCTGTCTTGGAGAGGGGGTGATCTTCAAGTGGTGGTGGATCTCAGTAGTCACCCGAAGATTGGCCCCCAGAGTATCCCACCTGAAGTTTAACTATACCAATATTACCTGGTTGAAGGGGGTAATTCTTAGGTGATCCATAAATGTTAAAATTGCGAATGGTCTCGGTGTTGGTTTCGATTTCAAAGGTGTTCGTCTCGAAAGGCAGGTTTCGTACTCGGTCTTGATCTTGATAGTCAGGTCTCAATCTCGATTTCGGATAAAGTGGCCTCGATTAAATCACTGGTTCATACCTAAGGACTCATAAATATAGGATATTATAACCTACTTGTTTAGTGCAGATGTGTAAGAATGAATTTCGCTTTTACTGGGTCCACAGCACCTCCATCACGAACGATAACTTCTGCAGGTACAATAACAACAGCTGCAGCAGCAGAAGAAGAATTAGCTTCTGAAGTAATGTCAACATTACCTATTAATGTCAACTACAGTGCCAATAGAAGACGTACAAGTACGAGCAGCGGCACATCCCCTCACTATACCATCAACAGTGTTACAATAACCCTCCCCACTTGTCTCCTACACCACACCTGTCATACATATATACAAAGACAACAGGTGGTCCCAGACTCAAAAGATGCCTTATAACAATAACATGCAAGACTCTCCGCGTGGTGCACAATAACCTAGAATACGACTACTCTGTGAACAACAACACTTTTACGGCAACTGCAGATAAGGACAGCGTCGTGATAGAACAATCACTGAAAAACACGGTTAGTGGGGCCAACAGTAAAAAAAACAACAACGCGTTAAAACTTGTATATTTGAATATAAAGACAACAAAATGCTCTTTTAACATTACAAATCTGTTTTACTTACCCTGTAATGACCACGGTCGGACACGTCAGTTAACGTAAAATCAGACGATTCATATTACGCTCAATAGCCCACAAAACATGTAGCTATGCCTTCTTTATTGAGTCTCCCATCTGAGGCGTTCGTTTTCTCATCGCTCCCAAGCGTGGGTGCCGTCCATTTTCTTTGACTTCCTGAAACCAACCTCTCTATAAAGTGAATTTGAATGAGAGAGGACACCATTGTTTTGAGTCAACTTAGAGATGTCTGATTACAGTTAAAGCATACAAGATCCTTTGTGGGTGATGTTGAAAGATTTAACTGTCTTTATTGTTAGTAATATACTGCCAGATCTGGGGTCACTAAATCTAAGGGGATAACTTAACTCTAATCTTAATGTCTAAGGGTCGCTGCCACCAGACCCCCTCTGGACAGCATATAGCTCGTTAGGTAGCGGGCAGAACGGACTAGGCATTGGGTTAGGTTTTCCATTGATCAGATCGATAAGGGTAAAGAAGGGTGAAACCATAACATGTCTTCATTGATTTATTTCTTATAAAACACACTGGTAAAAACACACATACAAGAATTGGCCTTCCTCAGAAGAACAACGGAATTTTGGTTACCCAACTGGGCCCCAGACTCCTACATTACTGGCGGGTCATCCACCCACTTATTGCACGACAATCGGTGAACGCCGTATCTCGGTCGTTCCTTCTTACAATATCCCTTAGCACATCAGACTGGTCCACTGGTGTGGCTTGTAGCACCGTCGGTTATCATACATAGTAGCACCATTGCAACACACCTGTTACGCTCCATACCTGCAAGTATGTGACTCCTTGTGACTTTTAGGTATACACAACAGGCCCCTCGTTCGCACACCGCCCTCGGTGGGTAAGGACGAGGGCTTGACCTAGAGACATACCAGCACTATTTCTACGCCTGGTATTATAGGTCGCTCCAAGTGACGACCGCAGTTTCTCACGGTCTCCTTAGTTGTGACCATTCATGTGGAGTGGTGCGCTGGGAATCCACCGGTTCATAGTGAACTGGTATAGTGGGGAGTAGTTCCCCACCTGGTGTGGCGTTCAAGGAGACAAAGGCGGCCGGGCGGCAAGATACCCCAACCACGTGGCACCTGTGTTGACGGCAGAACGGGAAAGACTCAGCAATAATGCCTGACGGGCGGTTATCCCATCCCTTAACACATCCCTATCACACTTATATATCCGGCAAAGCTTTAAACTGTAGTAACTGTTATTTATCAACCTTAATTGTAGGGCGGGATATAGCCCGCTAGGACACTGACCTGTGTTGACGGCAGAACGGGAAAGACTAAGGCCGGCTTCCCGCCGCTTCTCGTCACATAGGCCTACCGTTTCCCATCCTCAATTTACACTTTTGTTTCTTATGGTTCTCACCTGAACACTTTACGGTATATTGTCACTCAGTTCTTATAAACATATATATTAATCCTAAATTACACACTAAGGTCAGGTCTTGGTTCGCTAGTGCTTGGTTAAATGCCTGGGATTTTAATATCAACGGGCATCTGAGGCGGGTACATGACGCGCCTTGAAACAAAAGCCGAATGATCATGGCGGGGGTGTATCAACTTCACTTAAAAACTGTAATGAGGGATCCTCCTCTCACACAGCGCACTATTTGAACACAGACATAAGGTTCTCTGATCACTGTACCTGTCGTGGGTATATGTCACGTGAGGCTACGAGGTGTATTAAATTCATACCGACGCATACACGATATTTCCTTTCCAGTATAGTTTCTAGATCACTGTCAACACCTCACATAGTCCTGATACATTTATCCTTTTTCCACATCATTGTTCTCATGTATTTTCATATGATAGCTGTTGGAGTTAGGTTCGCTACACGCTCACAGACGTAAATAGTAGGACCTTCAAACCCTGCTCCACACTTAGTCTTACAGTACCCTAGTCCGGCTCAACTGGACTTTAACATTCATCT